TTTAATCCCTGAGTTAGGAATTGACTTTATCTCTTTTGCTTCTCCCAGATAAGCCTTACACACCAGCTTCACCAGGTTCTAATGAGGCCTCCTGAGTAAACCGTCTCCCAGCAGAGAAATACTTCAGAATGCTCTTTTCCTTAGATTGTTTCTTTTGGTCTGTGTTTAAATTGGCATCACTAACTTTTTCCCCCTTAGTTGTCTCTTTGTTTTTTTAGATGTGTTAAGGTTAGTGTCTGAATCAAGTAGCTCTTCAAGTCTACCTGGGAAACATTCCTTTTTCCTCTCATTAGTAGCTTATTTAGTTTAGTTTAACTTTAAGAGGGCAATTTTGTTTCCCTTTATTCCAGGTTTTGGAAGGTGAATAACTATTTCGTTCTCCTGCTAACTCATTGCCTACATTTGTTTCTTACCTTATATGCAGTGAGTGTGCCAAGGCTCTTTGGGATCTATGTTCAGCATATCCCTAACCTTATCTCCCAATACTCAATCATAACCAAGTGCTTGAGGTTCCCCTGAACACTTCATTTTGGTGATACTTTCCTTTCTTTTCTTCGGAATCCTTCAGTTACCCACCTGCGTTGTCATCTCACCCTTCAAAGCTAGGCTGTCATGTCAAGTCTCCTATGCAGCTTTCTTTGGTCATCCTTGATTAGCCTGCTCCTTGCTTTGGGCCTCTTCTGCTTTCTAAAATATTGGTTTAGAGACGTGATACTCAAAAAACCTTCTTGCTGATGTAGTCCCTAAGATAATTTTGAAAGACTATGTTCCCTTTTACATTTTTTAAGATATCTAAAAAAATTACTTAAAGACTTAAATAATTTTCAAGGGCGTAATCTCTGGCATTTTGTAAATAATGAAAATGTAAAATAAACATCATTTTTTAGATATATCCAAAGAAATCTAAGTGCTGTAATGATATCCTTTTTTTTTTTTTAAATACAAGAACATGCTACCATTGAGAGAAACTGGAAAAATGGTCCAAAAGATCTATTCTTTCTTACAACTGCATGCGAATCTTCAACGGTCTCAAAATAAAGTTTAATTAAATAAAATTCTGATCTTGACTTAAAAATACATGAACAAGTTCTTTAACAGAAATTTTACATCATTTTTTCTACTTCTCCCACATAATTTTATTTCAAAGTAATATATTTCATGTAACCTTATCACACTCATAATCCTCTGCAACAAAAACATGTATATGAGTTAGTCTTTAAAAAAATTTAAATTTTTGTTACCCCAAAGCTTTAAAGCATTAACTTTTTTTCTCATTTGAGTTACAATTATTTCTATACAGTTGATAAACATACATAATAAATTTTGTTAAGTAATTATTAAACATAAGGTAATTTTTATTGAAAATGTGTCAGTGAGCTAAGTTTTTTAAAATACGTAGTTTAACAGATGAATATTTCTATTAGAATGAGACAGGGTTTAACATCAAGTCTGCTTTTTGTTTTGTTCATTTCACTTCTTTCATCCTCTAATGTTAGTTATAGAGGGCTTCCCAACACCAAAGTTTTACCCAAATTGTCCCTTTATTTGGTACCATGGAAGACTTTATATCCTGAGGCAGTACAACCTAAGGTTGATATTTTTCCCCCAACTGTTCCTAGTATGTTAAACAGTATTTTCATGCAAAAGAGTAACAAGTTTAATTAATAGTAGTTTGCTAATTCTTAGTACAGTCTTTTGGGTTTACTTCCTAGAACAGCGGTTCTCAACCTGTGGGTCGCTTGCCATGAAACTTGACTACAGTATTTGAAATATTCTTTTGATAGGGAAATGCAGTCTTTGTAGAAAGTGGTACATAGCATATCTAGGAATGGGCAAGGTTCTAGTCTTCCTGTGGTAAATGAAAGATGACCATACTTAAACACCATCCCTCTTTCTCATAAGGGTGTGTCTTTATTTTTCAAAGAGAGCCAGTGATTTTTTTCCTTCAGATATACAAATATATTTTCTGTCATTTTTTGGTAATTGTGAATAATCTA